GAGGCCGAGCCTTCTCTCTCTCTTCTTTTCTCTGACCCTTATGTGGTAATATAATTTCCTTCCACGGCGTTACGTGTACATACGCGGGCTGATTTATGACGTTAGCGATGCCGTACCTGTATGTACATGAACTGAGGAAAATAGTAAAAAGGTAATGTGGGAGGTAAAATCGGTGGCAGAGAAAAGAGACATGTTATGAATGCTTTTTTTTTCCTGGCTGCTTATTGTGTAATAAATTAATGAGCGATTATAAAAACGTAGGACTTTCCAGGAGAGTCTTAAACAAGTTTGCTGCATGATGATAATATAGTTTTACATTTCTATCTTAAGCTTTCTAGATAATTTACTATGACATATATTTTATACAGTGTTTAAATAAGTGGGAAACATTTTAGGATATGATTCTTTGTCGAAAATTAAGGAGGATTTACTTTTATATCCCTGCCTGAAAAGTTACATTCCTCCAAAGAAATAAAAATTAAATTTTTTTTGGTTGAAAATTATTAATTTTATGAAAAAAATAAAAGAAATTTCTAAAGAAATCGAGCTTTCTAACTCATATTTTTATATGTTTACATTCTGATTCCATTAGAAAATTCGAATAAAAAATTAAATAGAGATTGTTAGTTTTATATTCCCTTAATGATACAGAAAAATTTAAAAAATATGAATAAGTATTTTTTTACTAATGGAAAATGTCTACTAAACTTTATTTTTTAACTTGTTCAAAATTTGAAAAAAATTAAAAACCTAATTTTTATTCCCATAGGAGTAGTATGTTTATATGAAAAACCCCTTTTCGACAAAGAATCATCTAAAAATTTTCGCACTTATTTGAAAACACCTTGTGTATGCATATATTCTATTCTTGTAATGTTCTTTTTATATTACAAAAACATAATGAATAAAATTCAATACAATTTTTTGTCACAAATAATAGATCTAGCCTATATAATTTAGCACCTTGATAGTTTTACAATGTTACACTTAATATCCTGCTTCAGGCGAAAACGCTCTGGTCACGGCTACGATTATTTATTAATTATTATCGCAATTAGAAATGAGTTACTTCGAATAAAAAAAATCATCGCGTACACGAAGGCTCGTAGTACAACACGTAACACGAACTCTCGGGCCGCAGGGGAGCCGTATTGTCTCGCGGACGCGGATTCGCTCGCCAAGTAGCGAGCAAGAAATCCGATGTGGGTTAAATGCTAATTGCACAAAGTCGGGCAACTCGAGTCGGCGAATCCCTCGGGTGGCACGATCTGCGGCCGCGATAAGGCCAAGCTGTACACGAAGTCCGCGTGCGTTCTTATCCGCGCTTACATTCGGAAGGTTAAGAGTATCGTGTAGGTATATATATTGTATATGCAGTGCTCTGCTGGGAGGTTCTGGGGCATTTTTAGCTTTCGTGTAACAGTGTTGCGTGTTGCTGCATGCTTCTCGAACCGCTTGGGGAAAGAAAAAAAAGAAGTACGTAAAAGTACTCTCCACACAATACTGGAAATATAAGAGTTACCGATATTTTTTTACGAAATTAATGCGCTGAAATAATAAGTAACGCGAATGAATCTCGAGGGAAAACGCTTTACGTTCCAACATATGTATGTGATATTAAAATGGTGAAAAATAGGAATTATCGGAATAGAAGAGAAGCATAATTGTTGGACTTCATAAGGCCGTAAAGAGTAAACAAATGTTATAGTAATTTTTATTTATAGTCATTTATAGTTATTTATTTAGAGCCATTGATATTATGAATATTTATCACTAAGTTTAATTAAGCTTAATTGCACGGATACAATATAAAGATAAAGATTGTTTGACAATGTTGTGTTCAATTTTTTACTCATCGCAACGAGACTGTATCTGCATTTGTTTACCTCCACGTGGCAATAATATCATGTTTTTCCCTGATACAAAGGAATGAGGTCAATTTCGCGCAAACAATATTATCTATAATATGGCATAAATGGGAAAACAGTATGCATAATAGTTCCTCCAGGATGCAAATAGCGATTTACAGAATTCTTTACAATGAAGAAATTTCACGGTATCGATAATCTATTTTTCTGTTATCGATTTAAAAACAGGTTTAAGTTTTATTGGATGAAAATAGCGTATTGCTAAGCTAGATCTGTCAGCTTTATCGAAATCCGTGTGTTGACTAGGAAGTGCCATGAATCGATCCATCTACTCCTCCATCTACTTCCTTGAATAAACAAATGGATGTCGCAATCCAAACAAGTTGTCCCGCGAATATATTCCTTCTCGATGCTTAATTGTACAGTTATTTCGAGGGAATATTTGCAAAAGTGTGAATTTATTTAATATTTCTTAAAATTAATTAACACTTGTATGTATGTCTGATTTTTTAAAACCGATTATTTAATAGTGAAATAATTGAACTCTGCACATTTCTAAATTAATAAATATTTTTTGTAATCAATATTATTAGTTTCAAATAAATGATTTATTTGGCAGTATATTGAAATAAATACTTATTCGAATTCAATAAATTTTTTCAGTGTAATAAATCTAGGATATTAATAATAAATTATTTTATATTGAGATATGAATGCAAATAAATCATTCTCCTATCTATATAAATAAAAATGCAATTTTTCCTCATTAACTCTATTAAATCTCTTCCGCGGAGAATCTTATATATTTTATTGGATATTTTCTTTAAACGATTTATGATAACTGCGAGTACTTACAACAGACCTATCCGTCGAGCAAAGGGTCATCTCTTATCTTCATCTGCAACTGCTCGCGCTGCCGTAACTTCTTCTATTAATGATAACAGTACCTAACCGATCACGATGCAAGGATACAATAAACATATATAAACGATGATCTATAGATCCTAATTCTATCTTCTTTTTTATTTTTCTTCTCTCTCAGCGAATCGATGAAGAAAAAAAGAGTAAAAACTCGAATAAAATTTGATTTCCAACAATCATAAAAATAAGATGTTTTTCCATAGATCATTAATCTGTTAAACAAGATTTCGAAGAGAGACAGATTTGACGAGGAAGGAATCGATCTCTCCCGAGGGTAACAGTAAATTGAATTCGACGTCGACGACGAGCTGCTTCGCCGAAAGCAAATAAACATCCACTCGACGTAATCTTTTCGAAGGATGGTCGGGTCGAGTGCAGGCACCTACCTTGCGAGAATTCGAGCATGCTTCATCGAGCATTGTATCCATTATATGTTTTTGTCCGTCCCCATCTTCTTCCTCTTTCCCGCAAGATTCGCATTGTCCAGCTCGAGGTGGTCCTTTTCTCCTCCCATCTTCCTTTTTCCCGCATATATATGTACAAGTATAAGTTTACGTTTGGAAACCACGGGCCCGCAAGGCCTCGCGGTATTCATCCCGATCATCGGCATATACCTTTTTCTGCTACTTCTGGTCCCGCACGGACGAGCCGGGCCTAGTCGCGCGTGGCGAACGATGGATCTCGGAATATATAAAATATACGTACTCGGTATCTCTCGCGGCCGTTTTTGCCCGACATTTCTCTCGGCGAGTCACTTGAACTCTCGGTGATTTAATAATTAAAATTACATCGATCGGTCTGAATGAATTTTCTATTAGGAAGGCTGGGGAGAAAACGCTTGGAAAATTTAATTACGAGAAATCGATCGTATATAGGGAAATAAAAATTTCTTAAGGGGATGCTGGAGTGACTTGAGAAGTCAGTTGTTTTTTCCTTTCTTATCGACAAAATATGAGGTTAAATAAACTATAAATCTATTTATTGGCTATATGGATTGTTTTTTACCTGAAATTAGAACGTTTCCTTGTTTGTTAATTTTAATATTTTAACTACAGAATTATGAATTCTAAGTATTCATAATTATGTAACCAAGATATATGAGACTATACAGATTGATAAATCTTTTTCCTATACAAATTAAAGTATTAATATTAACAAAGGAGGAAGCGTTCTAGTTTCAGGTAAAAAACAATCTGTATAGCCGATAAATAGATTTATAGTTTATCTAACCTCATATTTTGTTGATAAAAAGAAAAAAACAACAGACTTCTCAAGAACGCTTACGATCTTCTTAAGAGGTTTTTTCTTGTTTTTTCCTGTTTTATCGACAAAATGTGAGGTTACACAAACTATAAATCTATTTATTGGCTATTCACGTGTGCACGAAAATGTAGGATGAATTATTCTCGTTCACTAGGCTACCAAATTGATATCTAAACATTCACTTATATTCCTTTATCCAATACCAAATCCGGCCTGATCTAATTTCAGGTAAAAAACAATCCGTATAGCCAATAAATAGATTTATAGTTTATCTAACCTCACATTTTGTCGATAAAACAGAAAAAAACAACAAACTTCCCAAGGGCGTTTAGGATCCCCTTAAAGCTGCTTCCTTGAGCGGAACGTCTTCTTCGAGATACATTGCGAGAAGATGCAGGATACAGTGTGCCTTTGGCTCTCCGAGAGCGAGATAGGAGTACAGTTATCCATAAAAGTAGAGCATGCGTACGTTGGCTCTAGAACGGCAGGTGGCTGCCGGTGAACAAAGAGAGAAGGAGCAAAAGGAACGCGAGCCGTCGTCGTCCATCAGGAGAGTTCTCGTTCATTCGGAAATGATTGAATCATTGAGATCCGATGGTGTCCGTTCGTTGTAACTACACGAAAATGTAGTAATTCCAGAAAGATATATGCGATTATCAGTTCGCTCCGGAATGCGTCATCGCAAAAAGTGCGTATCTAACACAGCAATTTTCTTCCTCTTTAAACCACGAAACTAACTTAAAACTGTAGAAAAAAAAAATTATTTCTCGTTTAACCGATAATCGTGCATTTTTTGCGCATTTTGTTGAGTTAATGATTTCTTATCGATTAATTGTCGTGCAATATTGAGTGAAATTCTGCTGCCTTTGCTAAAAATACAAAATGTTATAAAGTATAAAAAGGATAGTGTAGGCCAGGAAAATATAAACGAAAAATACCACGACGCAGTGTTTTAAATTGAATTAATTAGTTATTCATATTTTATACACAATAGTAATCATAATTAAGGTGTTTTAGTCCTCGTAATATTCTATATTCGTACAAGGGTACTCGGTAAAATCGATAAATTGGGATCTGTCGTGTTATATCCTATATGTATATAGACGATTTTTCTAGGCCTCTCTTGTTTCCTCTGTTTCTCTCTCGTATTTTCTCGTCTCTTTACACTCTTATCACAATATCGTATTTTACACAGATTCACTTACGGCTTACATGCTAGAGGGCCCCGGTGCAATATTTACAAATTCGTTCGGGGTTCGATCTGTCATTCGGCCTCGCCGAGTACGAGATCGATCCTCCGATGGTTTGCCCCGGGACTAGTAACGCTAGTAAATTCTATGGACTCTTTTTTTTTTATACTGTTTACCATTCTCTCTCTCTTTCTCGCTCGCTCTCGCTCTCTTTTCTTTTTTCTAAGGAGAGAATCGTGTCAAGTTCGCGTTTCATAATTTTCGCGCGCTGATCATAATCCGCGTATATTCGATAAAAGCGTGGAAAAAGTGAATCGCAATTATACGTTTGCTCGTCGAAGCTGAAATTAATGTCAGTACTTCCTGGAGACAGTGAAATCTTTCACAAACGAAATTTTCATCTTCATAAAGAGATGCTGTAGCTCCTTTGTATATTATTTTCTTCCTCGAAATTTGGAAAAAGTTGGAAAAATTCAAATTTACATAAAATACTCAATTTTTCTAATAAAGTTCCAGCTTTCCAGGAAAAACGATCAGAAACGTATGCCTTATCACTTGGACCACGCTCACAATTTTTTTTTACGCATTTCCAGCTTTACACGCAATTTAGGAACTGAGGGGAGCTTCTTCGTCTTATATAAATTATATACGCATACACCTTTCTCTTATTGCACCGAATCAGAACGCAAGAACCCATCCGAGGAGGCCATCTCGTGCGCCTCCTAGTTCTTCCTCGCAGCGCGGCTTGCGGTTAAATCTAACGGCACTTATTATTATATACGGGAGAGAGAATCGCCGCGAATCTTCTTCGTTCGTCATCGTCGCCGTCCTCGTCGTGGCCAAGGTGCATCCTTTGCTGTGCGCCGACGACGAAGACGACGACGACGACGATGCGGTACGTCACGGTGTAGGAATTTCAGAGTCGCCCCGGTGCAGCGACATCGATCCCCGGAACGTATATAGCCTAGCTCGCCTTCCTCTTTTTTTTTTCCTCGTACGTAAAAATCGCGTAGCATTCAACAGCAAGCGCGGTCGACGACGAGCGGAAGGGCATAAAACTAGTTTTGTACTGTTCTCTTTGTGCTTACCGTGGGGTATAAACCCGGCAGCCTAAGTCCGCCTCAAGTTTCCGCGCCGCGTCGACTTGCGCGGCGTCGATTCTTTAGGGAAATTTATATATTTATTATATATGTATATATATGTAATATATACTCTTTCGACTCTATCGATGCGCGGCTTCGGTTCGGGTGTTCGCGAAAAAAATACACTCAATACAATTATTCGTATACCTGGATTTGTTGTCCAGTCTGGGAAATCGGTGCAGTTTTGGATCCCGTAATTAATTCGATTAATCAAAAATCTTGGGAAATTTCAGAGTTTCGATTTTTCAATTTAATGCAAATTTTCAAGGTCTTGGAAATATTTTTCTTAAGAGTTGTGCGAGACACCGGCGCGTTTCAGCGACACATCGCGACATGTGCCGAACGGTACCGTCAATCAGAGCGAAGGAAAAGGCAAGAATCAGGAAGGAAAGGGACCGTATGGGACCATGCGTTCTCATGAGAGACGACCATTGTTGCACCGACGAGACAGTGGATCTAGGTCAGGCGGTGGGGCCCGTCGACCCTCCCAGTTTCCCGCGGTCGCAAGCCACAGCCGTCGTCGTTTTTGCGGTTTGGCGTCGCCTCTTGGAAAGCTAGATATTGCAAGATGGCAAGGGTGACCCAATATGGCTGACAGCGGAGGAGAAACAGCGCAAAACAGTCCGCCGCATTGTTCACCCGCGACCGACTTCACCGGCTTTTACAGGCCACCTATTCTTAAGGGATGCCTAGTTTCTAATTCGAGCGCGGATCATTTGATGGAAGAAAAAAGAGAGGCAGTAAATCGTTTTTTTTTTTTAATTTCCTTCAGCTCTCTTCATTTAAAACTGTCCTAATCAAAATTATAAATAAATAAATATTTTTGCAATTTTTAAAATTGGAATTCTTAATCACTGATTCGTCCAAATTTGAAAGACTGTTGACAGACTCTTGAAAATTCAACGTCTTTTTTCTAATTTCCCAAAGTTCTTAATAAACTCGAACATCGGCTCGCTAACCGAGATTACGATTTTTTGTTCAACTTGCCTCCTCGAGCCTGTCGTTCCTCCGTCCTTTCGCGCTTCTTTCCTCTTCGGAGGAGGCCGGTTGCCTCATCCGGGAAGAAGGGACCGGTGATTATAGCGAGCCACCGTGATTGCCGAGATCGTTTGACTCACGAAAATGTCATTAGGATTTCATTACTTCCAACTGCCTTGAGGAACGACTGCTCAACGAGTTTATGCAACGTTGTCTCTCTTTTTTCCTCTCCGTTTCTCTCCTTCCCTCCAACCTCCCTCCGACGTTTATCTTCTCGAAGAGATTCCGCCAATCTTGCCTCGTTCCTCTCTACCTTTCTTACCGCGCGAAATGCGGCACGAAGTAGGTCGGTTGCGCTCTCGGTTTGTTGGGCAACTGTCACAAAGGATCAATCCGCCTAACGTCATCGGCAATTGACATTTACGATGAGATAGAAATTGGTTCTTAGAGATGCACGATCGTGCCAGATTCAGAAAAGTGACGAAAATCTCGTGTTCGATCGAGCCGATTATCCTGTTACTCGCCAGGATTTGTTCTGGAAATAAACATAATTTTTTGCCGGAGGCAAAAGCACCGGACCTCAAAACCTTGATTCGCGTCCGGTATTTTTTTCATCGTGGATGTCATATTATTGCCACTGTGACATTAACGCATCTCGGTGACGTATCGGGATGGTATTCGTTAAGTGTGAGAAAAGTTGAACGAGTTTAAATACTTTATCATATCCGACTAAGTTTAAGAAAGTAATTTTTAATAATACTAATAAGTCATTTATCTGCCAACACCGGTGTGTGACCCTCTCCCCTTCTCTTATATCAGAGGAATCTAATTTAACATTAGATCGGTTATCAAATTCTTGATTAACACATTTTTTTTACGCATTTGTTTAGAGAATAATTATTGTATGTTTTGAGAATGACAATGTAGATCAGAAACCTTGAACTCAATATAAAAATTATTCAGCAACGGAGAAAATGATATTAATTAAATTGGAAAATATTTAATTTTGACAATTGAACGTAAACGAAAATATAATCTTTCTACAGATTACAGATTTGAGACTTTCTGATATACATACAAATACAATCAATTAACATCTAACTGTGACGATTCGATGAGGTTTTGGTAATTGCAGCGGTAACGTCGATTCAATACGTTTTCATAGAAAATAATCGTAATCGCGCGATTCTTGTTTAATTATCAACAATTAATCGTATAGCGATTAAAATCGATACACAATTTTACGCAAATTGACAAATGGACGATTGGACAACATTTTCACAATGGAAACAATTACTCGGAGGCAATCTTTCGCTTATATAATTAACCGTAGTAATCAAATTAGATCCGATGCACGCAATTGCGACGGTCGAACACGAACAGACATATATAGAAAAGCCATTTTATTTCCCAGGAAAGAGATTCCTCGCGATTCTTTTTTTTATATTTTTTTGCGACAACGATTACTTGTCAAACACGAAAAGCGTTACATTCGTGATAATCCACTCAATCATACGATCATATACGCGAAGCGTTACAAGTACCCTCCAACTCGTAAATCGAACATCAAGAACCACCAACGAAAAACGACGTCGTCGTTTCTTCATTCCGAATTCGCGTCACGAATCACGGTCAATTTTCGGTCAATTTTACGTCGTATATAAAACCACTGTCATTCGACATTATATATTATCACCAATTTAAAATGATATTTACTTCACCATATGACGGCACATCGCTCTCTTCTTCATCCAACCAACGTCGGGATTCCAAGCCGGGGAAAACAGTTTTCTTCGCACCGAAACAATACGTCACTTGTCAGTCAAAAGTCACTCGATGCACACCGTGAACCGTTCATGACTTGCTCGTGACGCTCGATAATAGTCCACCAGTTGGCTGGAGATTCGGTCCTCTTCGTGTAGCTTTGAGAAACATATTTTGACAGCGCGATCTAAGATCGGCATCTTCGCGGTTGCACATTATTCATCTCACATTATTATTATTATTATTAATATTTCGCTAGAGGGCGTGTATGTGTGTGTGTATGTGTATGTCACTGTTCGTACTGTAAGTTCTCACTTTGACGGACGGCCCGCACGGATACCGGCGTGCGGGTTTTTCTTCTTGTTAGACAATTAGAAACAATATTAACATTCAATTTTCCTCGCGAGAGAGGCGCTACACATATTCACACTTTGGGGCGAGACCGCTGGAATACGTCCACGAAGAGGTGGTTCACCTGAACTCAGTTCGAGGGACGTCTTCGTTAAACCGCTGGCCATACCCTGCAAAACGCACAGATGATCGTTCCGTTAGGGACGATTGACGCATCGCGAGAGATATTTCAAATGAAATGTCAAAAGATTAAATCTAGCTTCTTTTTTCATCAAACCAATTTATCACGCATAAATAAAAATTTTGCTATAGATGTTACAATAATTAATTAATTAATTTCAAATCGTCAGATGTATTAGAGTATTTTATATTTTTCGATATAAATATGCAGGTACATATTTCTCTCTCTCTTTTCCTTTCTCTCTGCTGTAAAAATATATTTTTTTACGTTTGTACTATATCACACATACACGCTTCACGCAGTTATTATATTATTAAAAAGATACGCGGTAACTTTGAAGCTTCCGGAATCACAGCGCGATGAATATTACGGCAAGGCAAAGTAAAAGGTAAATTTGTCGTGTCATGTTGGTTCTCGGTGAATAGAAGAAACGTCTAGCATGTCCCAAGAGGGACGTGTGACTGGCAGTACCAGTTTGCATTGAGGCGCGCTGATTGACGCGTCGCACTTTAATTTCAAATTGAAAATGTCTATTATCGAAAAAAAACACTATTCAACTATTGCTCGCGTAAAAATCACCGATATACCGAGTTGTAGCAACTATAGAAAGATAAAGCTATCATCATATACGGACATTTAGGAAATGCTATTTGCTCATTCATCTTACAAATTCAATAGGTTTATCCCGCAGAGCTATCCAATATTCATCCACCTCAAGTAACTATCTTTATCTTTTAAAAGATATCATTATAAAGACCAATGTTGGACTTATCAGACCAACATATTTCTCAAATCACGTTTACCTTCATATCTTTAAAGAGAGAACTACTATTTTAGAAATGCACTAGTCTGGTCAACTTCTACAAATGCAACTATTTTTATCTTCTAAAAGATATTATAAATACCAAAATATCTTATCGAACCAACATTCACGTTTACCTTCATATCTTCAAAGAAGAAACTATTTTAAAATCAAGATGTTTATTAATTATATTTTAGAAATGTACTAGTCTGGTCATCTTCCAAAGACCTCAATGCATCGAAGATCGAGATCAATCGGATTGGAATTTGAAAAAATGATTATCATTATAAAGACCAAAGTGTCTTATCAGACCAATATTTTTCTCAATTACATTTACCTTCATATCTTCAAAGGGAACTGCTATTTTAAAAATGTGCTATAGTCTAGTCAGCTTCCAAAGACCTCAATGCATCGAAGATCGAGATATACCGGATTGGGATTTGAAAAACTGGTTATCATTATAAAGACCAAAGTGTCTTATCAGACCAATATTTTTCTCAATCACATTTACTTTCATATCTTCAAAGGGAACTACTATTTTAGAAATGTGCTATAGTCTAGTCAGCTTCCAAAGACCTCAATGCATCGAAGATCGAGATATACCGGGTTGGGATTTGAAAAACTAGTTATCATTATAAAGACCAAAGTGTCTTATCAGACCAATATTTTTCTCAATCACATTTACCTTCACATCTTCAAAGAGAGAGCTACTATTTTAGAAATGTACTAGTTTGAACAGCTTCCCAAGGCCTCAATGCATTGAAGATCGAGGTCGATTGGATTGGGATTTTAAAAAATGGCAACACTTACGTGAGTAATCCGGGATTAGGGTCCGCCTGGTACCAGGAGTACTGCGGCATGTAGCCCGCGTGATGCGGCGGCGGTGGCGGTGGCGGTGGATGATGCCCGGGCGTGTGCGGGTGATGATGGGTGTGAGGCGGCGCGTGCGGATGCGGATGGTGCTTCATCTCGCCCGGCCAGGAGGGCGCCGGCGGGCTCTCGTTGTGCTGAGGCGACATCTCGCTTCCGGGGCTCGAGCTGCCGGGGGTGTGACCACCACCCCCGCCGCCCATGCCGCCCAAGTAACCCGTCGTGGGGCTGCCCGACACGGAACTTCCGCCTCCTGCAATACGAAGGCAAAACCGGGAACCCCCGTTTCAGGAACCGCTTGAGCTTGCAGTCGCGCACGTCTTCAATGGGACTTCAATCGTGTTGTAAATTGTATTAATGGCGCGCGATGGAGCTTTCCGCGGTATTCATCTGCGCTAATGCATCTCTGGCGGTTGCTACGAGACGAGGGAAAGAGTTTTCTCTCTACAGGACGGGGTTGCGCGATTAGTTTCCATTTCGCGGGCTAGTCAAGTTTTAGTCTATTCCGAGAACGTGAGGTGCATAGTTCATCCCTAACTCTGTGTATACGTCACGCTTTCGTGACATTCCGCCGTTTAGAAATGTTCTGATTTTATCCTTTTCCCGAAACTTTGTGTTACCTTGACGCTATTCTTAAGCACAAAACGGTCGGAGCTTTGTACTCATTAGTGTAAGTATAATGAGGTGCATTATAAAGTACATGCATTCGCCTGTATTTAAATTTTTGCGACGGTTGTTTTGAAAAAAAAAATTAGCGGAGACTAATTTTCTATAATAACCTGATGAAAACATCCTAATAAAAAATATATCAATCAATTGCGACAGACTATTAACAATAAATTTAAAAATATAGAGATGTGATACATAAAGAGTTTTTAATGTATGTGTGCGCGCGTAAAAAAAAGGTAGAATTTATATCGTTGACCCAAATCACTGTGCGAGGCATAATGACGCGCATCGGGAAGTGCATAGCAAATTTCGCTAGGCCGAGTGGTACTTCTATAGCGAGAGAGAAATTTCTCAAGATGGGGTTAATTACGGCGGCTGAATCTCTTTCGCGGCGCGCATTTCCGAATAAATCACTCACGAGAGGCAGATTTTAGATTACCGTTAGCCGCAGAAAGAGAGCAGTGATGAGGCAACCACATCATCGTCGTCGTCGGGGACAACCGGGTGGTAACAAAGATAAACGCCGCGACGCTAAACGCAGACTGAGGCACCCGCGAAAATTGCGTCGGATTATTAGTATTGTAATTATACGGAGAGAGGAGATTGCGACGGTGATGGAGTAGCCTCAAGTCAACCGTGTAATCATCGCGCACGTTCACGCTGGTGACATTCAATTAACATCCGTGAACGGTCGCCCGATTAAAGATGCGCGAGCGAAAATAGATCGATCGATTTCGAAACGTCAATTAAACACGCGATTAAAGGAGGCCCTTTTTTCGTCTCGCGTAATTTTTTTTTCAATTTTATTTTGAGCTATTCGGGGCTTGAAAATTCAATGCAACACTAGTGGTGGTCGCGTGAACTATCAAAAATGGCCGTCGCGAATATACATCTAACATTATCTTATTATTATTTGAAAAACTAATAATGTTCCAGTGATCACATGAGATTCTGATGTCAAGACACTTATTTCTAGACATGAGGAATATAAATCTATTCTTTCTTGACTTTTCCTAGTTACACCGCACATAATAATCATGCCGGAATTTTACAACATTCTGGCCTTTGGTCATATTTCTTGATGAACGCGTAGCTTTTGTATAATCACAGAGTGTGTCTAGCCGCAATGACATTTTTTTCATTAAAACATTAATTTTTACACTTAAAACCGTTGTTGTACATTCGCGACGGCCATATTTGTTTTGCTTCAGGAGCGCGGTGGACATTTTTTTCCCTAATCTCGGGGTGTGTTTCATTGATGTAGAACGACTTACCACCTTGCATGAGACTTCCGGGCTGACCGGGTTGAGGGGATGGTCCTCCGGGTAAGGCGGTTCCACCCGCTAGAAGACTGCCATGTTGACCTCCGCCGCCACCTCCGCCTTGCTGCGCTGCCTTCATCATCTTCTTGTACTTACTCCTTCTGTTTTGGAACCAGATTTTCACCTGCAAAAAAAATAATAAGATATATTAAATAGCTGGTCGCGAGAAATAAAACTAAAATTCAGAAATTATCCAACACAAGGATTATCTCAACAATAATGAAAATAATTTTCGTCACTTTGTCTGAAGATATTAGTGACGAAGAATGTGCGAGAAAGATAAAAAGAGGAAGAGAAAATAATATTGTGTTTGAATGGAATAAATTGTAATATAAATCAACTTATTACTATTATGTTGAATACTTATTAATATATATTTGCATTCAGTATTTCAAGATTTTATTATCAAGATATTTTCTTAAGGCTGTTATTGTCTATGCATATTATTTGCATAATAAAATCATAATTAATTAATAAAAAATCCAAACTTGCTTTAAAGAGATTTAAATATCTATAAATATTCATAAATACAGAGGATTAAATAAACCATAAGCGCGTAGCAAAATTTATTTTTAATCACCACAATTTTAACAAAATATTTATATAATCATAGTAAAAACTCGTCGTCGCATAAATATAATTATTAATAAACATTACGCAGATCCTAAACCATCGGTTAACATCGGTTCATTAAATTTTTATGGAATAGAATCACGAGCGATTTCGTCAGGATACATCGTCCGATTATCGATTCGACCGCGTTGCATGGAAATGCACTCTGCAACTGCGCGATGATGCGCAGGTATGCCTGAATCTAATCCGATGCTTCGCATCATTGCTCCGTATCGCCGAGTTGGATTTAAAAAAAAATGAAAAAAAATAAAGAACGCTCGTCGTTTCGTAATCGCCGCGTTTTTTCTGCTTCCTCCGTGCGATGCATAGAACCGCAGCAAAAGCAACTTCGTCGTCGTCCTGATATACCGGTGCGCACGCGCGACCACTAGGATTGCACATACGTTGTAGATATATATATATATATTTTTTTTTGTCTCAGCATCCGCACACATGCGCCGCGTGTGCACGTGACGTGCTAGAGCTCAATCTTACGTAACCTTGCCTAGTCGCCGCGGAACTTCTAACGTGTGTGTACGTCTCGCAAGGAATACACAGTATTATTCGCGTTTTGCACATCAAGTCCGAAGTCTCCGTACATATACACATGTTTGGAAACTCATTGTTTCCAAGACTCCTTTCTACCTGGCCTTGTCCCAATGGCACGACATCTTTTTTCTATTCCGTAAAAATGGCTGTATATTTCATCTCATTCCGTCTCTAAAATTAGCAATATTATATTTGCATAATATAATGTAAATCTTTAGATTGATCAGTTTTTACGAAAATAAAGTTTCTCATAAAAAAAAAAATAATAATAATAACAGGAGGTCAATTATATTATTTTTAGAAGCTTTCCATATGCGCCTTTTTTCTACTTCTGGTATATTCATGACTGTGTAATTCTCCCACACACGACGTAATAGAGGTATTGGGTTGGATGCCGGATGACTCGGACGAAAACAGAGACATATACCTTTTTATTAATAGTACGCCAGACTTAATGACTTTTTAACGAGTCTATCCGCTACAAAACCATTCAGCTCGATCAAACTCGATATTCCAGCGTCGATCAAACGTTACGATCGCAAAATGAATATTTTCTTCTTCTCACTTTTTTTCACGGCAATATTAGCGGTTGTTTATTAATCGTTAAATTAAATTAAATAGAAAAATTAGAAAATAAATGACAAAGCAAATCTTTACAAAAATTCTTGCGCCAGAAAAGTAAGCAAGTACACGTAGTTCTTCTTTTATTGTTTACATCATTAGAGAATGGCATTTATTCAATCAATCTTTTGAACGTATTGATGGAAAATAACGATTTTCTTGATAAATCGCGAAAGAACGATATGAAAAGACGTTGCCTTTTTTTGCAATTAGATGAGTCTCTTTTAATGAACTCGTATGATGTTGCATTACTCCCGATGCACCTCCGCCTTCTTTCCTACCTTCTTAGCATCTCGCTTTTGACTGGACGCAAATTGAGTTAGTTAATTAAAGTACTGTCCAGCTTTTGATTGACGTTCAAGGTGTAAAAAGTTGACGACATGAATATATACGTACCGCTTTTAGAGTCTATTGCGCAATAGAGGAATCACGGGTTGGCGAGGAGGTAGAATCCTTCTCTGAATTAAACAATGCTTCCAATTTACGATTATTATTCTTACTCGACGAGAGCGTCAAATAAAATAGGAAACGACAAACTTGGTCGTTTTAATAAATTATTACAGACTCGAAAAACGAATAAGAGGCTTCTTTCTCTAATACAGGTTAACTCTTCGAACAGGGAGATTTGCAGGTATCGTGCGAATAAGAAATAAGAGAGATATTCGCAACGTGTAATCACGCATAACGCTCCCGCTGATCGCACTTGCGTCATATTCTCTCTCTTTCTCTGATGCAGATTTCACTTTCCGCTCATTTTCCTAATATGCAGAACGACGATGATGTGCCCAGGGCGGATCGAAAAGCCGAGACTAATCGGTAGGTACGGCACGGCGCTCCTGCATTATACATAAGAGCGAGGAGAACTAGAAGTAAACTATGGGCTCTCTCCAGTTTTGCGGAACGCGCGTCGTCACACTCTACCTCGTGGCCTCTTCATCATTAAAATCACGGCACGAGCTACCGAAAGAAACATCGAGATGTATAGGGTGTCTCGACTTTAATTTCAACGACAGAGATCGTTTGACAGATTAATTTCGCATCAAAAAATTCTCTCTCTCTCTCTCTACATCTAGAACAAAAAAAAAATTGTGTTTTTAACGAAATCGGTAGGATCGCGCTTTGTTTCTATATGTACTTTAATCGTGGGAAAGCATTTATTATTTTATCCAACCAATAAAAAGAAAAGGGTGCGCACAAAATTCTGCATCTACACAAAGAAAATTTTCTTAGAAATTATCCTGAAAATCATGGTAATCATGGACAATATGGTATTGGAAGAATTTTATAAGAATTTCTCTGATTAATACATACTTATCACAATAAAAAATATTAATATGGACAAAATGGTACTAGAAGAATTTTATAAGAATTTCTCTGATTAATATTTACCACACAATAAAAATAGTAATATCTATCACAATAAAATATAAAATTCATCGAAGATATTTTATATTTTATTGTGGTAGATATTACTATTTTTATTGTGGTAAATATTAATCAGAGAAATTCTTATAAAATTCTTCTAATACCATTTTGTCCATGATTTTCAGGATAAATTCTAAGAGAAAACTCTCTCTGTGTTCATATGAGAATGTCCGAGCTTCCCTGTAGATGCTTACATATCATCGCGAAAAATATGCCGCGGCGGCAACATCGACGTGGACTTCCTCTCCGGCCTCAAGCGTGCGGCCGGCGTGCCGGCGCAGATAAATCTCTTTCTAATTGCTCGCTGAAAAACCCGGCCGCGCGGTTGCGCCGGTCGAGATGGCGCCCGACAAAGGCCAGCAGCGCTAAAACCCGGTCTCGGCTCTCGACTGGTGCTTTATATTTCGCTCGACTGGCCGGCCGGATCGCGGTTTGTTTATTGATATTTACAGCCGGCGTTGACAGGACACGACGCGCATCGACGGCAAGGGATGCGCCTTCCTTCGCGAGGAGGATAATATAGGAGGGGTTGCTCTTTTTTCGAGCTGCCGGCGGCTTCTCTCGCTCTCCTCGGCATCTGGGCATCCGGGACGTAGGTGCGCGTTAGTGTCGGCCCAAAGCTTTAATTACATAATATCTTTTTTCCAGGTGTCGTCGAAATATATGTCAGATTGCTCGTATATATGCCTCTCTCTCTCTTCCTCCTTTTACTGTCACTTTATTCGAAGAAAAAATTATACAATGATTGTACTTTATGCGCACAGTGTAGCTAGAAGTGTAGAAGATGTATTGATATATCTGTCGCCTTTTCATTAATTATTTTTTTCTTATTTTTTTTTACGTTCATTGGAGAATGTTGTGACAATATACTTTTTAGTTCTTAACTCTCTGCCAGCAATCTGAGTCTTTTAAGGCACAAGCAAATTTCCATTTTTCAAATTGCTATTAAAATTTCGCTGTATCAATAATTGCCTTTAAAATTAAAAATTTATTGATTATTATAATAGAGATATTAACAAATAATCCAGAATTTTTTTGGATTTTTAAAAAAATCTAAAACATAAAAATGACATGAATTTAAACAAAATTGCTGACGGAGGATTAATATTTAATATTATATTAATTTTTGTAAAATATACATATTATACTTGATATGATAAGTCTGATACTTAATATATTATACTTGATATGCTAAGTCTGTAGAATTTTACTTCATTCTGGTCTATAGAGAAAGCGACATTGAAACGTGCATGTGAAAAAACGTAAGATTTCATGGTGCGAAATGTGTTCAGAATAATAATGATTGTTCTCGCAAAACGGTATGACGACAGGCTCAGTCTTCAGTGATTTATTACCTCTTGCATTCATTATTATTAACGTTCTTTCTCTCGAATCGTTCCCATAATTTGCTCGAATGAAATTTAAGATCGCATATATCGATGAAATTTTGTCCCAGAGATATAACATTCCTATGAAATCTCAGAAAAAGCCTTAGAAGATCCAAATTGCAGATGGAGTGTTGATATCATTTTTTAATTCTCCTATTCTCAATTTTTAAATATTAAAAAAACGACACTCTCTATTATTTTTATGTTTTAGATCTTCAAAAAAATTCTAGATTATTTGTCAATATTTTTATTACAATATTCAATTTACAGCAAAATATTATATATATCTAATTGTTTATACAAAGCAAAATGGAAAAAACCTTTAGAAGATCCAGATTGCTGACGAAAAGTTGATATAATCTTTTAATTCTCCCAATTTTTAAATATAAAATTTATACGAAAGATTCATCGAGTTTTCATACAATCTACATATAAAAAAAGACTGACACACGGGTGCCGTAGAAATAAATCAAATGAAATTCTCACTCTCTATTATTTTTATGTTTTAGATCTTCAAAAAAATTCTAGA